AAATGTTTGTTTTACATGTAGTACCTTTTTTCAACCACCGGACGGCAGTATAAAACTGAACCGAAGGATGAATAGTGAGGGAGCGAGCAGCGCGTCTCCTTAAGAAAAATGGGAGGGAGGCCCCTTGACTTGGCATGTGCTGCCTGTCTTCGGTTCTCAAAATGGCAGACGCTCCGTGTGGTTTGAGCTCTTTAGCATAGCATTTTTCACAAAAAGCTTTTAATTAAAAATAAAAAATAATCAGTAAACAAGTTCTCAGCTTCTTTTTGCAGAAAAAAACAACTTTTTACACGAAGGCACGAGTTTCAACCGTGAATTTTGGCGCTTTGACAAGACGGAGATTTATTCCTGAGGTCGGCCTATTAGCTTAGCTTGTAGCTTAGCTTCTCTGCTTAGCTGCTTTTAATGATCCAAAAATGTGATTTTGGATGGTTAAATGGATTTTAAAGAGAAAACAGAAAGGGAGGGGTCAGTGAAGAGCACCGGAGTGTTGAGCTTTTTGTCATCCAGTGTCTTCAGTAGAAAGAGACACGAAGATAAAGCTGATAAATGAAAATGAGGTTGATAATTTTCATTTATCATGCGATTAACTGATTTATCGTTTATTGCGACAGGCCTACTTGCAATGCACAATAATACTGTTTAACATAGCAACAACTATTATTTACAATAAACACACTTTTTTTAATATTCTATTTTTTTCTTTGCAATTCCTATCAAACCAAGTGAAGACATCAAGGCCAGTGAGACTGATGGATTGACATTAGAATACAAAACAGGAATGCATAATACTTTACATGCACTGACCTACGATTCATTGCCGTTTAAACAATCCTTTATGCGATGACAGTAAATTTGCAATAAACTGTGCAACCCTAAATCAGCACCGGTCATTTCAAACAACAAATCCCAGCATGTGGGCTACAGTTTAAAGTCTGAACACCCTTAAAGACCAGAAAACTTAAGAAAAAGGTACAAATTGTACTATTTGGTAAATGTTGGGTCTACCTTGATGCCATTGTTTGACTGCACGACATTCCACATCCTGGTGAGCACGCTCTCGTGGGCTTTGGTGTGCTGAGGCAGGCGGCGACGGGGCATCCCTGCGACAAACTTACCAATGCTAGATATGCGTTTATCTGGTGCACAAACACAATTGATGACGACCTGCAGAGCAGACTTCTGAATCTCTGCGTCATTCACAAACACCTCTCCCTCTGCCACAGCCAGGACTATACTCATCCCTGACAAAAAGGAAAGGGTTACATAAAAACCTTGGAGAAATTGGATCTTTAAACATAACAGGAGGCTACATGACGATAAGAAACAAAATAGAATCTAATTTCAATTGACCGACTTTGTAACTTAGAAAGGAGCCGAGCTCTGAAAACGCCTACCGACAGTAGAAACTGTACTTCCTCCCTCATCCAGCACAGCAACGGGTTCAGACAACAATAGTTGAGTCTTTGGAACAACTGTGAGGATGCTCAGGATGTCAAGGGCATAACGAACCGTATCACTCCTAGGAGGACAGCAAACCGTCATGACTGCATCACCTTACCCAAGAATATTCAAAACCTAAAGCTGGAAACGGTGAAAAAACGACGTTCCTTGTTCATACCTGCCATAGTAGGTCCTCCAGTCACAGGCGATGGAAATGAGCTGCAGGAGCAGCTGGACACAAGACAGCTTGTGAAAGACCTCTGCTGGTTCCCAGTAAAGCCGTGGACCACACGCTATCAGAAACTCCATCATTTCCACCACCTGCTCACGGCTGTAGCTGACAGCCTGATTATAAGGACGAGAACGAAGAGGGGGGAAAATTACAGCAGGAGGAATAAAACTTCAAACTAATAACTAAAGCACAAAATGAGTAACAACATAGACACGTTTTAAAAAAGATAAACTGTCCAACATGCGTTTTACTCTTTGTGTACCTTGTAATATGGTTGCGAGTGAATGGGGGCGCCCCCCTCTGTGCGCTGCAGGGATTGCTTCACCTGCTCCACCTTGATTGCCAGATGGGCCTCAAAGTACCTGCGCAAAGCCATGCAGGTGTGCTTGGCTCGCTGCCTGCTGGAGAAAATCTCATCATCACTCAGCAGTGTTCCCTGGTCCTCAGGATTCAGGATCTCCAGTGTGCTGATCTGAAAACAGTTTACATTAAATGCTAACGCATGACATATCATTTGACAACTTATTGAAGTGGTTAACTGATCCAGTTTTCTTCTAATTATTCAACAGATACAGAGGATTACGTTCACACAGCTACAGTGACTGCTGCTTTGTCTTACCAGGTTGACGAGCCGCCGGAGCCCATCCTGCTTGTCGAAAAGCTCCAGGACAGCGCGGAAAGAAAAGGAGATGGAGAAGAACATGGTGGCGTGGCAGCAGCCTGATGCATGTGAACATTCGAGCAGCCACAGCGTGTAACCAACCACATCTGACAAGACAGAGTGGGGCAACATGCACACCTTCAGAGGAGAGGGCACAGTCGTGAATACAAATATGAACAGCCACAAGAAGCTGGATATAAAATACTATTATTTTTACACAAACATTAATATTTTTAATCAAAACAACAACAAAACTGATATGATTGTGTTTTGTGGCTTAGTAAAGAATCCAAAGTATAAAGATTTGTTGCTAAACTTTATTGACGACGAAGCAGATACCACCTTGCTCATGTATACACTAATTAGCTATAACATTATGACTATTTCCCTGTGATGGACTTGCGACCCGTCCAGGGTGTACCCCGCCCCTCGCACAGTGATTGCTGGACATGGGCACCAGTGACCCCCGTGACCCAAAATGGAATAAACGGGTAAAGAAAATGGATGGATGGATGGATTATGACTATTGAGAAGCAACAAAAAATACTGTTCCTCTGGGGGGGAGACACCTACACTCACATCATGACTTTGATACTTTTAGCTGCCTAAACAATTTTTGAATACTACTCACACCAACACGTGCTGCTGTTGTTACGCCATACTGTTTTACACCATTAGTGACTAGCGTATCTCTTAGATCTTTTAGCTATTTTGGGGTGTAACTGGGACCCTGTGTACATAATTTTGTTCCACCTCATGTACCACATGATGGAAATGAAAAATAAAATTGACTTGAACACAGTAACAGCACTGTCCTACAAAGTGAAACCAGACACTTCAGTACTCCAGAAAATCTCTTGATGTCTTTCTGCCCACATTTTGGCTGATCAGAATTATTTTGGAACAAAAATATATTGTCCTCTGCATTAGACAGGTGGTCAAAACGCTATAGATAAGCAGAGTAAGTACAAAAACACAATATATGCTACAAAATTCTGACATTATAACTTTTCAGCGTCTATATCTTTTTCTGTACCCGTTCCATGGCATCCTGGTTATAAGCTAGGTAATACAGGCACAGGGACACTCCAGTAGCAGCCATTGAAGGTCTTGGGATTTCCAGCAACCTTTGAACTCCTCCATGAGCAACAAACTCTGCAGCAAATTTCTTGTGCAACAGCAGTGAAGCCAGATACTGTAAAAAAGAAAAAGAGCCTTAAAAAGTTGTTGCATTTGAGCAGCATAAAAAAAAAATCAAATTCTGGAGTAAAGGTTTACCTTGAGAGCCTCGAAGGTGAGCTGAACATCATTGGTCTGCTTCAGATCCATGTAGTGCATCATCAGCTCACGAGCTCCCATTTGCATAAACACTGCCAGAAGCTGTACACAATGTCAGGACAAAGATTTATCATAGTTTCAAATCATTTATGTGGCTACATGCAGGAATGTGTCGAACAAAATGTATGACATTTACCACCCCCAAGTTGTGCATTTGTCAAAACGTAATTTATGCAGTGTATTTTTTTAATAAATTACTTTAAACATCTTTATAGAAGGCTGCCATCTGTTGGTAAGTATGGAGCATGACAAGGGGAACAATAACAGCTACAAAATCTGCAACAACTATTTTTAAATATAAAATTAAAAACGACAATCAGCAGTTACCATTTTGTTATCAGTATCAACTTTGACAAAGTGAAACTGTTCAAATCTGAAAGTGAAATGATCAAAGTAGCTGCTGCTTCAATATTTTGTTAATCAATTAGTCTGCTGCTTTATAGGCTGATTAAAAAGAGACCAACCTCCTGATACTCCCCCAGAGGGGTGAGATACTGCAGGATGAGCCTCTGCTCGATCTCTGGGGTCAAAGGGTACAGATGAAAATTGTTGCCAATCACCCAGGGGCTCATCTCTGACCAGCTGCTGTTGGAAAGCTCACTGAAGTTCCTCTCTGGCTCGGGCAAAGAGAAATTCAGCTTCTGTTTTGAGGTCCTGGCACTCTCCCTCTCTGCCCTCCGTTTTAAGTAGCTGCTGCCGTCAGATAGGCCTGGGTGTGTCAGAGAGCCGGGAGCAGACATGGGCTTCATCATGGTTTTAACAACCGAGTTGGAACGGCTGCTCGTCTTGTCAGGGGAGTTGAAACGAAACGAAAGCTCGTTTTCAGGTTCCATGGATGAGAAGGGAACTTCAGCGTCGTCTTGTGGCCCCATTGCATCCTTTTCTGCTCCGTTTCTCGTGGGTGTGAAAGGCTTGTCTTCAAAGCCTCCGTCAACAGTCTCCTCATCTAAACGCAACAAAGGCTCACTTAGAATCTTCCTGGGGCTGAACCATTTGGTTTCCCTTTTGTTCTCAGCATCCTTATTCTGAAGCTCACGCATCCGATGAAGCATCAAAGGCACCTGTGACAGTAACGCACAGAAAAATCTAACGATTAATGCTTCACACCATTTACGGCTAAAGAACACATGTGGACTAAAAATGTCATCAGTTGTTGAATAAGTTTGTCTTAAACTATTGACTTTTTCAGATTTTATTAATGCAAATTCATATAAAGGAGTGAAGGATCCCCTACTGACCAAAACAGAGTTCTCCTCTCTGTAGTTGGCAGCAATGTCTTGGTTCTCCATGGCGCCCGCCAACAAGCCGGTGGCATAGATTCTCAGAGGCTGTTCAGCCTCCTGAGCCCACTTGAACAGCCTTTCAACTATACCCTCCTGAAAAGAGCAGATGCAAGAGTGACAATGAAATCATCACAAGACGATCAATTAATTCCCTGTCATCAATCAAAACGCTAAGGACTATTTGAGATTTGACTAAATTTTAATTAAAAATAAAATAAAACGGACATTAAAACAAACAAAAAAAATGTTCAAAATGCAAAAACACATTGTGTCACACACACTGAGTACAGTGGGCTTGGAAGGATCGCTGGCAGTGATCCATCTGGACTTTATTTTACCTCTTTCAACCGTCCGGGTTAGAAATGACAGCTCTAATACAAACCCAGCCCCCTCAGCAGCACCCCCTGCTTCTCCAGGTGGGCGGGAGACATTTAGCACAAGTACTAAACGTACAGGAGCTATCAAAGAGCAGCTTAGCTGCTGAGCAAAAAGAAAAACAATGGCTGTTATTTGGAGTAGGTTTGGATTTAAATTGTCAGATGAGGGGCACAAAAATGTTTTCTGTAGACAATATATGTAAATAAATGTTTAAAAAACAAATTAATATATGTAAATACTTTATTTTTTAGACATTTATTTTGTAGAGTTACAGCTGTTGTTAATAAATGTGCCTGTGTGACAACTGGGACGAAGCTTAGACTCAGAAATATATTTTTGTTATTACTTTATGGAAAGAAAAAAATATCAAGATATATATTGTATTTTGCCATTCATTTTAAAATATTGAAATATTAATTTTGGTCCATATCGCCCAGCCCTATACAAAAGTGTAACTAACTTGGTGGGTGGATTGTAGTCACATGAGCAATAAAAGCTTTTAGGCATGTCATTTGTTTTCTGCATGTCTAACTACACGTTTTAAATATTAACTTTGTGGTAACAATTTAGAAAAATATTCCAATTATTTGGTTACTTCCGGGCAGCACGGTGGTACAACTGGTAGAGCTGCTGCCTCTCAGCGAAAAGGTTGCCCTGGTTCAAATCTCGGTCTGGGGGGGGCCTTTCAGGGTGGAGTTTGCATGTTCTCTCCGTGCATGCATGGGTTTTCTCCGGGTACTCCAGTTTCCTCCCACAGACAAAAACATGCATGTTTGGTAACTCTAAATTGTCCCTATGGGTGAGTGAGAGAGCGAGTGGTTGTTTGTCTCCATGTGTCCCTGTGATGGACTGGAGACCTGTCCAGGGTGTCCCCCGCCCCTCGCACAGTGATGGCTCGACATGGACACCAGCGACCCCCGTGACCCAAAATGGAAGAAGCAGGTAAAAGATAATGGACGGATGGTTATTTCCTTCTCCACCTACTTTAATAACAGTTTATTTGTAATAATAATAACAACAACAACAACAACAACAACAACAACAACAACAACAACACATTTTTAAAACTGCTGTTAGGATAAGATTGTATTAAAAACATCAAGTTGAACACTAGAAACACACCATGAACAGAAAGCCTACCTTTTCTTGAAAAACCACAGCCGTCTCCAATCCCGGCATGATGTTCTGCAACAAGCGGCAAGCTGCCGCATTTAAAGAAAACTCTCTGCTGGTCATCACATAGCTGTTCACCAACTAGAAATGAAAGAAAATGTTTTTCATTCTATTTTGACCATACTTTAAAAGCTGGTAATTATTTTTAGAAACAAAATGCCTTAAATTTGTTCATACTGTGTTCATGAAATCATCATTTTTGAACAGGATCTTCAGGAGTTGTCCTAACACACATTCTGGATCAGCTCTCCCTGGTGGCCAAGAGAGAAATGTCAAAGCAGGCACATTTAAAAAATCTTAATATCATCTTGATAGATTTGTGCAAAGTGGTTTTCCTGGTTTCCATACCAGGATGTCGATCATCAAAAGGGTCAGGGTCAGCTTTGTGGTACTCCTCAGTCTCCTTTTCAACAAGCTCAGATATTCTGAAAGTTGCAGTACATTAACACATTTCACCCACTTAAAAAGCACTCTCATCTGCCCCTAAATGTATTACAGCACATCACATAAACTAAAAACATGTCTACATACTTGGTGAGAATGTTCACCAGCTCCACTGTGCTGCTGTCTTGTTCCTTCTCCCACTGTTCCAACAGAGTGGTCAGTTCTGCCTTGGAGTCCACAGTGGCAGATGCTGACGCCATGGCACAAGCTGTCATGACAACAAACACCAAACATTACATATGTAATCTTTACAGTTGAGTCTCTGCTGGGACAATAAATTGTGTCTAAGCATTATCAGCTAAAAGAGCTCAAATGATATTGAGGTTTTGGGGGGCTGATTTCAACAATGAGGTGAGTAAATAAATAATACAATCAATCAATCTTAACTATTCCTAAATCTTTAACTTAAAATCATATTTCAAGCAAAAAAAAATGATTGTGTAAAAATGAAATGGTGACTAATATATTAACATTCTAATACAGGACATACAGCATCCCCACAAACTCAGGAGCCAGGCAGAAGAAGAAATCCTACTCAAGTCAGGCCCTGGAGCAACGTGGATGTGGATATCCTAACTGGGCCTTCCTGAAAGCAGAGAATAAACCCAACAGGACTCCAGCCAGCCATCAGGTGAAAAGGAGGAACCCAGACCAAACGTTTATTTTCTAAACTTGACGTCCCAGTGGCTTTCAAACCCCAAAATACATTTGTGTATGCTGTTCAGTGTCAGGAGGGCTGTGATCAGTCTTACATCGGGGAAACTAAACAGCCACTGGCCAAAAGGATGGACCAGCACAGAAGATCAACATCATCAGGCCAGAACTCTGTGGTTTACACTCATCTGCAGACCAGTGGCCACTCTTAAAGGAATGAAGATGTTCACATCACTGAAGAAGTCTTTTGGATAAAAGACAAACGTTTCAATAAAGCAGAATCTGTCCAGAGGACCTGACTTAACCTTGTTAGAATAGAGTTAAGAATTTGGGAACAGGATTTTTCTACCTGGATTATTGAGCATGCATCAGGATAGTTAAGAATTTGATTTCTGGTCTCAAGGCAGGAGGACCTCCATTACAGAGATAGAGCTAATAAAATTTATCAGTTGCAAAAAATATAATTAGGACCTACAAAGACAATCTCAAGCCACACTTTTGACAAAGTGCTAAGCACCAAATAAAATGCATGACCTGTTGGGGGATTATTTGTTTACCTCTACTCTCAATGCCCTGTGCTCAACTTCCGCAATCACATTTAAAAGATTGTCTTGTAAAGATTTGGAACTAAAACTTAAGTGCGTAAATGTCGTGATTTGGTTATGTATATAAAAACACTCATCATTGGACCAGCTATAGCTGTGAGGAGCAGATGATTGCTCCACCAACGCTGCAGGTGCGACCGTTCTCTCTCAGGGGAACACAACCGTCAAAGTTACGCTCAAGTTAGCTTGTTGCCTAAAATACATTTTTGCGTATCTCGTTTTATTCGGCAGTAGCGTGGCATGTAACAATTTTGTGACATTTCCACAACCGTTACTTAAGGTTTTAGCCATTAAAAGTGCAGCAGGAAACTCGGCTCACAGCTGGATTCTGCCTGTTGCGATGTTTGTTTAGCTAAGGTGGCTAAACAAGAAGCTAGCCCTTTTGTGCCGCTAACATACACTCAAAGTCGCCACCTTTGAGTTCCGCTGCACCAGTTTACATTAGGGCCAGGATATCCAGACATATACAGCTCATTACGTGAGATTTAAATATTTTTGATTCAGTAAAACTTGCCTGCACATGTAACACTGGACTGTAGAAGTAGCTAGAAATACCACAGGTAAGCCAGGCTAGTTAGCCACCATGCTAACTTTACCTCGTTTTTCCTCAGTTCCTGCTGGTTTTTCTCAGGTATATTGAGATTTAAATCCACTGATACGAGTCCCGACTTGGTTGTTGTGCGGCGACTACCAGCGCACCAAACCCTGTTTCACGGGAGCGACTTCATCTGCCTTTTGTAGCTTTGTGTTCACGGTTTATTATCATTATGGCGAACACGTTCCTCTCGTCAATTCACGAGCGACATCCACAGTCAATGACGACATAAAACAGCGACAAAACTTAGCCAAACAGCCTTTAATGAAAGAAAGCATTACATATCTTGTCTTACAAATTTAAAGCTCCCAGGTACAAAAATACAATTACTGCTTCCTAAACGAATCTATGCATACATTTATTTAAACATTCAAATGGCAATCAGAATTATTATTTTTTTTTTTTTTACAAACGGTAAAAAAGTGCCAGATGAAAGCAAAACACACAATTCATTGCACATTTAATATAAGGCTATTGTGCCAGCTTTTATAGTACCAGTGCTTTTAACGTGATAATGCATTTAAGTGTATAGTAAAAATCAAAGTTAATCAAGAAACCTAGATGAACATGATCTGGTAAAACCATGATTTTTAAAGGCATTTTTTTGGGCAAATAGATGTCTAATAAAATTTTCAGAAAGATGGAATGCAGTGCAAAAAGCGAAAAAACAACAAATTGAAAATATTTTAAATCCCTAATTTCTAGCAAAATAAGGATGACTTCTAAAATTGTAATAGTCACTTTAAAAGTGACTTTTCCTATTGATGATTGCAAAATGTTATTTAAAAAAATGGAACATGTCTTTTAGCATAATTATGTGAAAGTCGAAAAAGCATGGAAAATGGACGGATTGACAGTAAAAGCTAGCATTAATGTTGCACTCAAAAATGTGCAATGCTTCTCCATAGATTCAGTGAAGCTGGATTTTGAAAAGATCACAAATAATAAAAAGAAAGTCCCTTTCACATCAATAACCCCACTCTCTCCCCCAAAAATGAAACAAAAATTACATTTTTGATATGCCAATTGACAGGAAAACTTATTTCACCCAAGTTTATTGTGAGTTTAAAGCCAATGAAAGTGATGGGAGTTTTTCTGCCTCAACATTTTTATTTTAAATCATTTTGTTTTTAGTCAGTCAGAAATTGTTTATTTATACTCACATACTACTTAATGACTCTTAACCATTAATTTGAATGGAAGTGAGTGAGTCAGACTAAAATGTCCGGTGGCATAGACAGTAAAATAAACAAAGTCATAGCCAGCCATTGCAGTTACATTACAGAGCAGCAACAAGTGGCGGGGTAGTCATCAGTATGAACTTGGAACTCATTTCCATAAACAAAGTAAATGTGTGTATTCCCTTTCCACGAGTAGGTGACCCTTGTGACCGGGATCAGCTCGATGGTTTGACGCTGCAGACAAGAAAATAAGCATTTTACATTTAAAAATTAAAAAATAACAGCAATTCAGTAGTACCATATTGTTCTAAGATACTAAAATAAAAACCTGCTGCAGAATGCGTGATGTTTGGGAGTATCTGCCCTGATGATCCCTGATAAGGCGTTCTGAAGCCTGCACTATAGAAGCGTCTGGAAAACCCATCAATGGATACACCTGCAAAAGGTCAGTCACAAAAATGTTGAGCCAAATAATTATCAATGTTTATATCCTGATGCATGCTCAATAATCCAGGTAGAAAAATCTAAAAAAGTTAAATCTGGTCCTCTGGACATTCAAAAAAAAAAAAAAAAGCAAAATAACAAAAAAATGTAGAAACGTTTCGTCTCTCATCCGAGAGACTTCCTCAGTCTGAGGTGCTGTATTCAGCTCAGTCTCTTAAATAGCACCTTCTCAGAGTGGATCAACCACTCTGAGAAGGTGCTATTTAAGGAGGCCATCTTTGTGAAAAGAAATCGTCCATCGTTAAACAGGGGTGGAGGCCTCCGGGTTCAACTGTCCCCCTCTTACAATGCTGTGATTGCTAGTATCACTCAGCCCTCTGTGAATAGTAAACAGCCATCAGTGTGCTAATGATCCATTGTTAGGCTGATGGTCCTTCTTGAGCATGTGATCAGCTGGTTTTGGTTGTCAGCAGCAAAGTGGTTGATCCACTCTGAGAAGGTGCTATTTAAGAGACTGAGCTGAAAACAGCACCTCAGACTGAAGAAGTCTCTTGGATGAGAGACGAAACGTTTCTACATTTTTTTTGTTGTTTTGATTTGTTTTGTTTTTGAATGTCCAGAGGACCAGATTTAACTTTTTTAGATATCAATGTTTATATTTTGTTTATTTACTTACATTTAATTTACTATGTGTGGAATAAAGAGACAATTATTGACTCAGAGAGGTTAGAAGTTATAGTGAAAAACATTCCAGCTGCTTCCTTCATTGTTGATGTTAGGCAGTGTTTGTACTGAACTGAACCCCCAACTAACAAGATGTTCCATGCAACAATAACTGGGCTTTATACAGACATCTGTAATAATCAAGTAAAACTGAAACATTCTGCAAAGACAGAGTAAACACTCAATGTAGGTCATGCCTGAGTTGACTTTCAGAATTGTAACAATTATTAGCTACGACATTTGATTTATCTAGCTCCTGTTGACACAACAATAACTACCACATAAGCAAATCATTCAGAGGAGTAATTTTATTTAATACATTGTATATGAGCCTGGATAAAGCAATTTAAATAAAAGATTACACATCAGCGCTAACAATATTCCTGATAGATGAAAATCTTCAAAGTAGGGACTAAACCCTAAACGTTCTGAAAGAGAACAGCGTAATATGATCTCCGCTCTCTGCCACTGGCCACGCCCACTTCTCCACCGCAATCACACATGCTCATCACCTGTGTCACTCCCAGTCTCCCTCTGTGCCTGTGCGCTCCCCAGTCTCCGCCTCCCTGCCAGATTGTCTAATCGCCTCGTGCCTGAAGTATCCAGCATTCTTGTTCCTGCTCTCATTCCTAAAGGCTCGGTTTGGGTTGCGTTTGATTATTTTAAATAAACAATACATGCGGCTCATGCAGCTCACTCGGGTATAAGACAGAAGCCCCGCACCCTCCTTTTTCTGAAGCTGTCTGTTGCGCACCCGCTTGTTGTGTGTCTCTGGGACACTATAAGGGAAAGACAGACCCCGCCCCCTCTTTTCTCTTTCTCTGCTGTGAAACGGCCTCGGAAAGCGAAAGGAAGGGGCGGGGGGTTCTGTTTTATACCTGAGTGAGCCGCATTCAGCCTCTCTCTCTCTCTCTCCCCCTCTCACTCGCTCACAACAGCCCACAGAGACGCAGGCTGTTGTGCGTCTCTGCTCTACTGTGACAGCCTCAGAAAGAGAAAGGAGGGGGCGAGGGGTCTGTCTTTCCCCATTGCCGATCATGTGTCGTGTACAATCTTACGTTGAAAACCCGCGAAAGAGTGAGTCCGTGAAAGTCAAACCGTATTGAGGGACTACTGTACACCAAAGCATGAATCTACTTAGTTTCCTGAACCTGGGGGGGAATAAAAATTATGCATTTTCATGAGTGAACAATTGTGATTTGAAGACGAATGAGAAAACTGAAACACATCAAACATCATACAACATAACAAATAACACAAAAATGATCAAAATAACTTCACTCCCATGTAATTCTCATTCAATAGAAACTGAATCCTTCAGTCATACTGAATAAATGATTAGCACAGAAAACAGCATTGACTGTTGTGGGCCTGACTCATTACAGCACTGCCAGTAGATTTTTGGTTACAACTCCATCTCCATTTTCTACTGCTTATTCGTAGACGGGTCATTGAAGCAACAGGCCTCAGATTTAAATTGCATGAATCAGTTGCAACTTAACATGTATTGAACTGAATTGAATTTAGTTGAATTAATAAAAGAACACTTCAGATTTGCAGATTAGGTCAGCAACACAAAAAGTCAACAGAAGGGAAAAAGCCATTTACCATGTACTGAGAGTCTCTGAAAAGTTCCTTCCCAGACACCTTGCTGATGTTGTCCACATGAAGTCCACTCGACTGTTCCACAACATAATCCTCAGTGTTATTAGTCCTGCAAGCATTTATAACAAAATACAGCAATAATGAAGCCATTAATCATAAAACAAGACCATAAATACTCACTATTCTCTATCATAAAGAAAGACTGTTTTGTTGACAAATTTTATTAGTAGGTTATAAAATTAGTACCAGTTCACATTGAGGCGGATGTAGACCAGGAGCTGCCGTTTCCCATGACACATGTCACACATCTTTGATCCTTGTCCATTACAGGAATTGCAACTGTGACAGAATATTTAAAACCTATTATTTAAAAAAAGTTAACATGCCACAGTGTATTTACATTGCTCTCTTATTGCTTTCACTCTTTTAAAAATCTAATGCATACTTGTTTCTCCCTCTCCCATTGCAGTGGTTACATCGATCATTCCCAATATGGAAACCAGATCCATTGCATACCCAACACATTTGCTGTTCAGAAAACAAAATCAAGCAAAGGACACTGTATTGTTTTTCTAAATGGAATCTTCAAAATAACTTTTTGAGGCCTGAGGAAAATACTTACATTACCAGCACCTGTACAATCATTGCAAGGTTTTCGTCCCATTCCCACACAGTTGTGGCAGGGCTGCAGGTGAAATCATTCGATTCACAAAAGTTTCTTGAATAAATTTAATAAGAATATTTTTTCCTTAAACACAATTTACAAAACTTACCTTAATAGATGATGTGTAGGGAACCCTGATTTGCTGTTTGTTATCTACAAAGAAATTTGGTGTTGTTGCAGAAATATCCCATGGTCCTGGAGGTGGCTGGATCATGGCATCCACTGGCTGCCCTGGGTAAG